ATATATATATATATATATATATATGTGTGTGTGTGTGTGTGTGTGTGTGTGTGTGGTGTGTATAATTCTTGATATATAATATGCTCACAAAGTATGGCTAGAGTAAGTATCTTAAGTATGGCTAGAGTAAAGCCCGTATCAGATTACGGATTAAGATTGAGATTGAATTGAAAATTGGTCAATCAGAACAAAGTTCAGCAAACTTGAGCTTAGTAAATTTTGCTCTAATTGGCTAAATTTCAATTCAATCTCAATCCTAATTTATAGTCTGATACAGGCTTAACGGAAGTGACGAAATATCTAAAATGAACTGTTTAATAAACTAACGAATTATGCATTAGAATAAAACGCTCGTAAATGTTTAAGAATGTTAAAGATAACCTAAAGTTAATTGCTTAAGAATTAGAGGGAACTAAGGTTTAGAATTAGTGAATTAGAAAAATGGGATTTGGAGGTGAGGACTATCTTTGGACTTCCAATCTCAGCACCCGACTCTGACTGCTACGCCGGTCACTACTTTACTGCTACTGAGCTTTTGTGATCCCGCCTTTAGGAGGGGGTCTGAATGGTAGTGATGCCATCTGAGATGCTTTCCTTTTGGGAAAGGAAGGTTTCGTACCTGGAGTGTCTCAGGTTTATTTGGTCAAGGATTATTTGGACAAAAAAATTATCACTGGCTGGCAGCCTGGTCGATCGGACGTGACAATAGCATGCTCGATTGCCTCTGGGCAGTAAAAAATGGAGCTATTAAACGATACCAAGGACAGTTTCGATCAATCATTTCGGTTGTTAAGCCAACAAAATATTCATCAAAAATCGTTACTGAAGTTAAATAATGATATTACTATCAGAGAAATGATGGAAGACAGCACAGCGACTGGAATAATTTTGAAAGCGAATGAACCGTGGTGAGAAGCCAAGTTAATCCACTCTGGGTTATTCAGTCTACGTTTATTGGTCGAACAAGTACTTAAAAGCTTTATGATTGGCTAGTAGAGACCTATGACGTCATTAATCGCTCTCGGAGCGATTAACCCAGGGTCAGTCGAACACATTATAAGAATCGGGCATCTCTAATCTGAACACATCCTTAGTAGTAGAATACACCCGGGTAGGGAATCTGAACGCAACCCTGCATGGGTTTTGCGCCCTGAAACAGAACGCGGCCATTATGAAAACGCGCGTACCGGCGTGTTTGTTTGTGCTAAGTAACCTCTCTGTACGTGAAATTTTCAGTTTCTAATCGCTAATTAAAGGACTTTTATTAAATATCGATAGTGTATTGTGACAAGTAAAAAATGGAGCTATTAAACGATACCAAGGATAGTTTCGATCAATCATTTCGGTTGTTAAGCCAACAAAATATTCATCAAAAATCGTTACTGAGGTTAAATAATGATATTAGTATCAGAGAAATGATGGAAGACAGCACAGCGACTGGAATAATTTTGAAAGCGAATGAACCGTGGCGAGAAGCCAAGACTAAGCTTTACTATGATTTCTTACAAAGCATGCAGTCGCATTTTTCTGAAGCACAAGTCTTCGATACTGTTGCTGATTTTATACAGAACTGTACAGATACGTTGGATATAATAAGAGGTATAATTTTATATAGTACCTTATTGTAATATTATTATTGTAAACAATATATCAATAATAATGATGTATTAATGATCCTTATGCTGAACTTGCTTTCATAGATAAAAGTACCTCTAAATGTCACTTCTATACTTTCTGATTGGCTTATAAGCATATTTACAGATACTTTTATTGATAAAAGAAAATTCAGAATGAGGATTAATGTATCAAATTTCATTAAAACCAAGAATAAATAATAACTAATTAATTAGTTAAAAGTTAAGTAAAACAGTTAATAACTTTAATTTAGTTCATTTTAAATAAATCAAAGTTTAACTTAAAGTAGTAATTTTTTCAAATGTATTAACTTTGACTTATTAACTTGTTTTATATAAATTAACATAATTCTTCAATATTCAAATCAGGACTAGCTACGCGTTTACAATATAAAACAAGAAAAATCCATAATTTTATATGCAAATGTTTTGTTTCTTTGAACACCATGTTCTTTTCTCATATCTTAAGCTCAAAATAACTTATATTTTGTTATAAAAGACTATCTTTTTATTATTTCACATAAATTAAACCTATGATTAAAAAGTTAATTATTCAGAAAAACATTACTTTGCATAATTAACTTAACTTTAATAAATTAATTCAATTTTAACTTAACTTTTGGTTTTTATTTATGTGATTTTTAACATAACTAAGTTATATTTATAAATCAATTATAAAACAATTATAAAACTATTATAAAAAAATAGTTTTGAACTTAGTTAAGAACTATATTACTTATCCAATCTTGAGTTAAAATATTGTTCCTTGTAGGTATGCAATCAAAAGTTGAAAACACTGAAATAGCAGAAGAGGAAACCTCCTTGGAAAGTGAGAGAAACACCTGGAGATTGATATATTGCCTTTACCAGAATCGTATAACCAGTGCTGGTCTATCTACTCAAATGGAACATGATGCACATATAAACAGTAATTACATCTCTGAAAAAGATGTTATAGAAAATTTATACAAATCTGAAAGTTACATTAGGGAGTACCAGTTGATTATTGACTGGTTAGAGAAGAATGCTCTGGATCAAGCAGATAGATATCCTTCTATAGAGCTTTTTACTGATAAGACAATAGCCTGGGAAAACACAGTTCATCAGTTGCAAAATCGAAATTTAGGAATTACATTTGGCTCATCTAGACCTATAGTGTCATCCCTTGACCCTGATGGACCTATACGGGAAGGTAAGCCATTGCATGATCTGGACAGAGAAGATGATGCCAGACTCGAAAAGAGAATGTTTATAGAGGTATGTTTATTTGCAACTTATACATATTTTGATAAATATATTCAGAAATGGTTATATTTGACTGAATCTTTTTAGTTTGAGATATATCATAAGAAAGATGGTTCAAAATATAATGCCCAAAAAAAAACCAACAAAATTACACTGTAACTTTGACGACATGATTTAGTCAACATATATTATCAAGGTCATAGTTTTGAGTAACAAAAATTTTCTATCCATTGTTCAATGAAAATTTATTAACAAAAGAATTTAAAAAAATCTTATTGTTAATGTTCACCTTAAAATACATAATTTGCTGATGTATATGTAGAAATAGTATATGTATTGATGGAGGAAAAAGAGTTCCTACTTGTTATTCCCAACTCTAAAAGAATCTAACTTAATCCAATAATCTATTATATTTCTTTTGTAAAAATATTGTAAATAAACAGTCATAGCGATTTTTAGTTTTCACTATCACTCTCAATATTTAAAATAAATAAAATACTTTTAAACACCATCTTTATTTTGAGAAAGAGATAAGAACTCGCAAACGAAGATATCAATCAAAAAATAGGAAAAAGGGCAATTTGAGTTGAAGTACAGAGTTGAAGTACAAGACCGAAATAATATTAAGTAGTTAATTAATATTGAGAAGTAGCCGTCATAACTTTGTTGAGTTCAGCTGAAAGTAAACCGATCCTGTCAACGATCAGACGTGGCGATGTTATCGTTGATAGGATCGGTTTACTTTCAGCTGAACTCAACAAAGTTATGACGGCTACTTCTCAATATTAATTAACTACTTAATATTATTTCGGCAACGGTCTTGTCAGCTTTAATATTGCGATTAACATTCATGTTAAGTTACGCAGGTCTTTAACTAATTGTAATGCGTTCGTGTCGTAAACCTTGAGTTTTTTATTATCACTGAAGAGGGTTTATGGTTGAGCCGAAACGTATAATTGTTTTATATTGATTATTCATTGATTGTTCAATAAATATTACACGATTTCCTAACACAAGGAAGGTTTTTTACCCATATGGTATATAGCACTGTGCTTCAACTCGAATTGCCCTTTTTCCTATTTTTTGATTGATATCTTTATTTTGCGTCGCCAAAGTTATCATAATATCTCCAAAGAACCAAGTAGAAGATAGTATTAATTGTTGAGATGTAATTAAGTAAAATTACAAATTTTGAAACTTTTATTTTGTTATATCTCGACTATCTCAATGTTATTTCCCACTTTTTTTTTCTAGATATCAATCATCTTTTCTACAATATATCTTAAATTTAGTGAGAGATATGATTTTTTCAGAATATTTACCAAAATCTTTCAACAAAATGATCTATCTTGTGACATTTTGAAAAAAAATGTATGTCATAGGTACGTTGTGGGCGTCTTCAAAAAGCACAAGCATTAGCCATGCACTGTGGTCAACCTTGGAGAGCTGCGTGTTTATTAGGATGGATTCCCAATCACGATCCAAATTATAATATCCCACTGACAGACACAAAATTGCCAATCGAAGGAAATCCTGACAGAAGTCTTTGGAAATTATGTGCCTGGAAGATGTCTCAAGATAAACGCGTAGGTAAAGACATCTTTGATGAATATTGATCATCAGCTGATATTATTTCAAAATTCTCTGAAGAAAATTCCATAATTTGTTATTAAATTTCTTATGACATGTATTACAAGTAGAATAATTAACATTGTACTTATTTGTGTAGATGTGCATCTAGAGAAATATAATAATAATAATAATATAATATTTTTTTATTGAAACAGGTGTGTTCTACCGTGCCATATACGCGAGTCTATGTGGCAATATTCAACTACTATTACAGATAGCATCATCTTGGCAAGATGCATTGTGGGCATACGTGAAGAGTCTCCTGGACATCAAAGTCGAGTCGGAAATAAGAGCGACTATGGCGAGGATTTACACAGTTATGCCAGAAGAATACTGGAAAAACGAAATCGCTTTGGAAGACGCGTTTAAAGAGCTGCATGCTTCGAAAAATCCTCTGATACGTGTGCAGTCTAACAAACCTGATCATTTGATCCAGAAATACATAATACTGGACCAAACGTCGAAGTTAATGGGGGAAATTGAAAGTATGGTAGACAGTGGTCTCTGCGACTCGCAATTTCTCAGATTCTTGGCGCATTTGATATTGTTTTTCAGACAAATTGGAAGAAGTACGAAGGACAAGATCGAAAATAAAGTATTACTAGCGTACGTGCGTGTTCTCATCGAGATGGGCGACTCGACTTTAATTGCATTCTATACAGCCACATTGCCGCAAGAAGATCAGATAACCAACTATGCTTCTTATTTGGAGCGTGTCAAAGAACATGAAGAGCGTAAGAAGTGTCTACGTGCCGCAGAGGACGCCAACTTGAATGTGGAAGCGATCACGAAATTGGTGGTAGAAAATATACGTAAGAAGAACTTGGAATCTGATCCAACAGACCTGAAAGGAACCGTCACCGATGCGGACATTGAGAAGATCAACGCGCTAGACTGGCTAATCTTCTATCAAAATCAGCGAGAAGAAGCTCTGTGGCAAACAAATGCGCTTATTAGATACTTCCTGACTAACGAGAAGATCGATGCGGCACGGAAAGCGTTTAATAAGGTATTAATTGAAGAATCCATTATTATAGCTATCACAATAGTTGTGTTTAATAGAAAGAGCAGCTGAACAAGCGGTTTGCATTGCGTTGTTAATTTTTCACTGAGCGACATTTAGACCCGTATTTGTAGTCGTTATTAAAAACATGGTCCACGTGAAATACTCCAATCTGAATTTAAAATTAGATTTGAGTTCTTTATTTAAATCATGATATGCGACATTACATTTATAATCGCAATTTAACTGGAAAACTTTCATCTGAGTCTAGATTAAAATCTGGATATCTCACTTAAAGCACATTTTAGGTAATGACTATTAATACAAGTTTTAGGCCTGTATTAGGAGGATTAAAGGATCAGATTGCCTGAAAATCGTGCTTGTTCTTTCACAATTTTTTATGACAAATTGAATGAATATACGAAAGTGTTTGACGTATATTTATACAATATAAAGAGAAGAAAAATATAATTTTGATGATCAAATACTCAATATAAGTGTATGGTACATGCAGTTAAAATATATTTTGTTTTTCTTTTCAAGGTCATTTTGCAGTAATATCTTGACTCTTGATG